GGTCTAATGTATCCCAGGCTGGCTTTGAACTCACAGAGGACAGCTTTGAACCTCTGATCCTCCCACCTCTACCTCCTGAGTGCTGGGATTACAAATGTTTGTTACCATGTCTGGTTTATGCAGTGCTGAAAATTAAACCTAGAATTTTATCAGTTCAGCTACATCCTTAGCCTTGCTTTTTTTTTTTTTTAATGAACTAATTGACCCTTACTTAGCTCTGATAATTACCAGTTCTTAGCCACTCTTGATTTATCTGTCAGACTAGCACCTGGCCAAGTCTACTTCACTACCTAGTATTGTAAATAAAGATTGACTAGACATAGAAGCCATTACTATTCCTTTAGCACTTTCTATGGCTTTTATGCTGCAGTGGCAGAATTAATACTGACACAGAGCCTGCACAGCCCTCCAACCTTGAAATATTTACTATCTTGTCCTTTATAGAAAATGTTTGCTAGCCAGGCGTGGTGGCATATGCCTTTAATCCCAGCACTTGGGAGGCAGAGGCAGGAGGATCTCTGTGAGTTCAAGATCAGCCTGGTCTACGTAGTGAGTTCCGGGATAGCTGGGGCTACAGGGAGACCCTGTCTCAAAAAGACAAAAAAAAAAAAAGAAAATGTTTGCCAACTTTCATAGCCTTACTCACTTTCTCCTCCTATGTATTATTATGTAACGAATCCTTGGAGTATTTTATTTCATTTATAAGTATTTCATATTATTTGCTTAAAAGATGAGAACTCTTTGAAAGTAAAATCACTGAAATATCATCACAAAAGATAATCAGTAATTACTTCTTTGTTTTGAGACAGACAGGGTCTTACTACATAGCCCTGGCTGGCCTGGAACTTTTAGAAATCCACCTGCTTCTAATTACTTTGAATATTAACCAAAACAGGTACAAAAAATGGTTGATGTTCAGTTTCTAACAAGTTAGTAACCTATACTATTTGTAAAACAATTACTTAAATAAGGATCTCAAAAAGATCCATATGACATACTTCTTTTTAATGTTCAAGTGCATCTGGTTTTCTTTTCTCTTACTGTTTGTTTTGTTTCGTTTGAAGACAAGGTTTTGTAGTCCCAGGTCTGGACCTCTTTATATAGATGAGGCTGGCCTTGATCTCACAGAGATCCACTCACGTCTGCCTCCTGAGTGCTGGGATTAAAGGAGTGTGCCACCATATTGGGCATCTCTGCTCTCTGTCACACATTTCTGTGTACTTTTAATTAAACATTTTCCTCTGTCTTTTTTTAAAGCTACGTTTGGTCTTTGAGGCAGGGTTTCCCTGTAGCCCTAGCTAGCCTGGGACTTGCTATGTAGACCAGCTGGCCTCTATATCACAGAGATCCGCCGGCCTCTGTCTCACAGAGATCTGCCTGCCTCTGCCTTCTAAGTGTGGTGGACTAAAGGCATGTGCCACTACACCCAGTAACTTTTTTATATTTTTTATTTTAAAAAATGTATTTTTAATTTTATGTGTATGCACATATTGCCTGCATGTATGTAAGTGTACCTGTGTTGTGCAGTGGCCACAGAGGACAGAAGAGGCCATCAGATCCCCTGGAACTAGAGTTATAGACAATTGTTAGTTGTCCTGTGGGTACTGGGATTCAAACCAGGGTCTTCTGCAAGAACAGCCAGTGTTCTTACCTGCTGAGTCATCTCTCCAGCCCGACTTTTCTTTTTTTTAATGTTGCTACCTTAGAGTTATTAGGTAGTTGTTTATTCATCAGTTATCCTTCCATCTTCTTTCTTTTTTAAAAATTTACTTTTGCTAGGCATGTGGCACATGCCTTTAGTCCCAGCACTCAGGAAGCAGAGGCAGGCAGTCTCTGAGCTCAAGGCCAGCCTGGTCTACATAGTGAGTTCCAGGCCAGCTGTGGCTACAGGGAAACCCTATCTCAAAAAGACAAAAAAAAATTACTTTTATTTTATGTGTATGAGTATTTTGTCTGCATGTCTGTAAGTATACCTGTGTCATGCAGTGGAGGACAGAATAGGGCATTGGAAACTCTGGAACTGGAGTTAAGGACAGTTGTTAGCTACCACATGGGTGCTGAATTCTTTTCTTTGGGGGGGGGTCTTTTTGAGACAGGGTCTCCCTGTAGCCCCAGCTGTCCTGGAACTCACTATGTAGACCAGGTTGGCCTTGAACTCACAAATGCTGAGATTAAAGGTGTGCACTACCACGCCTGGCTCAAACCTGAATTCTTTACAAGAGCCCTTAACCTGAGCCATCTCTCCAGTGGCTCTTTCCTCCCATTATCTCTTACAATTATTACTAGTGCCTAGTGACTTTGTTTTTTATATTTGAGTCTCAGTCTTGCTATATAAACTCCAAAAAGGGTTTGACCCTGCTATGTACCTTAGACTTGCTTCAAATTCCTTATCTTCCTGCCTCCGCTCTGCAATGCAGGAATTACAGAGTAATTAACTATGTGATTCAACGTGTGTGTGTGTGTGTGTGTGTGTGTGTATCTGTGTGTGTCTGTGTGTCTATGTCTGTGTGTCTGTCTTGTGTGTGTCTCTTTTTGAGGCAGGGTCTTTCTGAAGCCCCAGCTGGCCTGTAACTCACGTAGACCAGGCTGGCCTTGATCTCACAGCCTGCCACTGCCTCTCTTGTGCTGGTATTAAAGGCATATGCCACCATGCCCAGAGTGTGTGTGTTTTATACAGGGACAAATGTAAACTAAAGTTCTAGAAACTTTATTCTCAGTTATTTAACGAGTAAGGTTTTAATTTCTGCTTGTCTTTACTATACAATGAATATATCTGGGAACTTTTTATTGCATTTAATTGAAGGGAGTATTAATTAATCAAGAAGACACTTAATAATCAGTGTTTTTTTCCTAATTTATGTTTTTACCAGTGCAAGTAAATTGTGTCTCAGAATGGTGATTTAAAGGGTATTATCACTGAGAAAAATCAGATGACCTACCTCCTAGTTAACCAAAAAAACAGAAAGGATCCAGAGTATATTGTATCAGCCAGTTCTAGTATACAAAAGCTGTGCAGTACTTTGCGCTTTGTATAAAAAGGGTAGCTGCTATTTAACCTGTCCCAGAGGCATTTGATGCTGCACCATAAACCAAGCATGGAGCCTGCTTGTCTGACCTTAGAAATGCAAGTGTAATAATAGTATGTATGTGCTGCTTTTTTGTTGTGTACCAAGACTTGAACCTAGGACCTTGCATATGTTCAACATGTACTCTACAACTGAGCTGCACCTAACCCCTATAGCTGCATTTTCATATGTATTAGTTGGCTAACTATTACAGAAGAAAGGCTTATTTCAGCAAAGCTCAGAAAAATGATCTCTTGTTGGTTGAGACACAGATGACATACTTTGTGTATGTTACCTTATTGAACTCTTAGGACCCTTGGAAAACTGAGACTAAAACAAACTCATATGACTGCTCAATGACTGAGCAGAACATATGCTGGCCAACGTTTAGGTTAACTTCCTAGAGGAGGAAGACTGTAGCAGTGGGGTCAGAAGATGAAATTGCTAGCCCCTGCTCTAGGTGCCCAAATCTTGGGAGGATTGTTTCCTTGAAGTGGAGTAGGCTTGAAACAATCCCTTTTAATTGATTAAGTAGATTATGTAGGCACATGCCACAAGATTTTAAGTCTTAATAGTATCCATCCCATACTAGGTCCCAGCGGCCCATTTCCCCTCCCCCAAGAGGCAGCCCCTTCAGGTCCTTCTAGAGATCATACACAACTGCTCAGGTGTGTTTCCACAAATGGTAGTGTGTTCATGCAGTTCCCTGTCATGCTGATTCCTGTATGTAGACCAGGCTGGCCTCGAACTCACAGACATCCGCCTGCCTTTGCCTCCTAAGTGCTAGCACTAAAGGTGTGAGCCACCATGCCCGGCTTAAATATGCCATTTCTTAACTATTCCTCATTTCCTTCTGTGGCATTTTAAAATGCAATTCTCTTATGAAATTTCCCTTTTGTCTTTTAAAAATCATATCTTACTTCCTTTGTAAAACTTTTCATTAGTCTCTTTGTATTATGCAGTCTTTGAAAAATATTATATTGTAAGTTGTCACTTGCATTTATTAAGTTTGTAGATAGTAAGAACCATACTCACTTTTTTACATACCACTCTCTTAACATAGGATTTTATTTTATTTTATTATTATTATTTTTTTTTGTCTTTTTGAGTCAGGGTCTTCCTGTAGTCCAGCCTAACCTGGAACTCACTATGTAGACCAGGCTGACCTTGAACTCACAGAGATATGCCTGCCTCTGCCTCCCAAGTGCTGGGCGTGTACCACCACGCCCAGTAACAGAATTTTTGACATATTGAGGTAATCATGATATCCTTACTGATAATAATAATAATGATATATAACTGTCTTAGGTGTATTTTCTACATTGCCTTCCACATGTTAACTTCTTATAGCTATTTTCATAAATGAATTTTTACTAATTATATGCTTTAAAGAATATTTTACATAAGTGCAAAACCCTGTGATGTGACAGCTTTGTAACACCTTAATAATTTTTCATTTTACACATGCATTTTATTTGTTCATTTTTTTGTTTGTTTATTTTGTTCTTTTTCTAACCTCCTCTGTTGCATAGAGAAGCTGCAACCAGTTTTGCAGTTTTCCAAGTCACAAACGGACGTCTATAATGACAGTACTAACTTGACATGCCGAAATGGACATCTTCAGTCAGGTAGGTTTAGGTCAACTAACATAAAATAATAATGCTTGCATGCAATGTACAGTCTTATTTACCTTGGTAATGTTGATTTGGCTTTGTAATAGAAGACTTAACTGTGTTTTGTTTTCACAGGACTAGCTGGAAATACAGTATCCTTATCATTCATAGTGTCTGGACATGTGACAAATACAGTATAGCCATTCCAAATATGCCCTATTTACATGTTTTGAATTCCTACTTTGAAATTATAAAACATGGGGCTGGAAGATTGCTCAGAGGTTAAAGAGCACTGGCTGCTTTTGCAGAGGATGCAGATTTTATTCCCAGCACCCACATGGCAGCTAACAACTGTCTGTAACTCCAGTTTCAGGGGATCCAACACCTTCAAGGCCTCTTCAGGCATTAAATGACATGGGTGCACTTACACATGCCGGTAATACACTCATACACATAAAATAAAAATAATGAATAAAATATTAATGTCTAAATATGAAGTTACTGTTAAATTGAAGAAGTCTTTTTGGCATGTCATAATTTTAATTCCTGTATAGTGCATATTTGATTTGAAAGATCTGAAACATTACAGGAACATACTTTCTGGTCACAGGCAGTTCTTACTTATTTCTCCTTAATTTGCTCATGTTGTGTCGATATAAGATTGATATCGCTAGCTGTCTTTTGTTGTTAAATGTCTGGAAATTATAAGAAAGCTTCCTTCTTTCCTTTGAAAATGGATTTCTGGTCATTTATAATAAAGCTTTGCAGATTCTTAAAGTCATCAAAAATATTTTTTTTAAAAGAAATAATAAAATATGGGCAGGTGGTGCTCTAGTTACTGCCTAGCCTGCTGCCTCTTGCACTGTCCTCAATAAACCTGTTTCCTTTTTTAAAAATCTGTGTGTATATTTGTGTGTGTGTGTGTGTGTGTGTGTGTATGTGTATGTATGAGTGTACATTCCTTCTTTGTTGTGATTTGTTTTGAGACAAGGTCTTAGGTATCCCAGGCTGTCCTCAAAGCTAAATAGTGGAGGATGACCTTAAAAATTGTGATCTTGCGGGTGTGGTGGCACACACCTTTAATCCCAGCACTTGGGAGGCAGAGGCAGGGCGATCTTTGTGAGGTCGAAGCCAGTCTGGTCTTCCATGTTAGTTCCCGGCCAGCGGAGGCTACAGGGAGACCCTGTCTCAAAAAGACAGGGAAAAAAAAAATTGTGATCTTCCTGTTACCACCATGCATTGCTAAGGATTGAACCCAGGACTTTGTGCATGCTAGGCAAGCACTTTTTTGCTTTGATTTGTTTGTGTATGCTACAAAAATGCTCTGTACATCCTACACCTCTTAGGGTTCTGTGTGTGTGTGTGTGTGTGTGTGTGTGTGTGTGTGTGTGTGTGTGTGCGTGTGCGCGCAGGCCAGAGGCTGATGATGTTTGGTATCTTTTTCAATTTCTGTCTACCTTATTTTTTGTTTTTGAGGTAAGGTTTCGCATTGAACGTGGAGCTCACTGATTCATCTAGACTAGTTGGCCAGCAAACCCCAGATCTTCCTGTCTCTACCTCCCCTGCACTGGGATTAATTCTTCAGGCAGGGTCTTACATATTTTAGGCAGGTCTTGAACAAATTATGTAGTTGAAGATGGCATGTACCATCACATCTAGGTTTACGAGGTGCCAAGCTTCCAGCCCAGGGATTCATGCATACTATGCAAGTACTCTACCAAGTAAACCATATCTCTAACCTCTTGACGTATAGTTTTTGTTGTTTCTTGTTGAGGATCAAATCTGGGCAAGCTCTCTACCACTGTACTATATCCCTAGCCTTTGTCACATTTGCTGTTTTTGATCAAAGTCTGCTGTCACTCTCATAGTAGTGCTCTGTAGAAATTTTTTCGTTTCTTTTTTTCTTTTTTTTTTCCTGAGACAGAGTCTCAGAAATCCTGGGTAGCCTGGAACTCACAGAGTTCCATCTGCCTCTGCCTTTTGAGTGCTGGAATTAAAGGGATTAAGGTACCATGCCTGGCCCCAATCTCCTTGTATTCATTCTCCTAAGCAGATGTTGCTTTTTCTTCACATCTTGGCTTTTGTTTCAGTTTTTTCCTTTTCAGGATGTTTTCCTGCTTCCTCCTGATGGTCAGTATCTATTAATTCCTTGAGTCTATGGTTTAGAACTTTACATTTATGTACTAGAAAAACTTTGATCAGCTGTTCTCTATTCTGAAGTGCCCTTGTTTTATATCACCTTATCATCTGGATATATGTTTAGCAATTACTATAATTATATCTGTTCTCTATTCTGTAGGTTGACTTTGTCTTGTAGAAATTATATTTCCTTTTTTGCTTTTTCTGTACTTAGTACATTATGCATATTGTCTATTTGATGTATTTTATTGTTTGATGCAATGTATCTTTAATCTTAAAACCTAAAATAATTCTAGATGTCACAGTCATTTATGTACTAGAATAATAATCCAAGCCTATCTAGACTGAGTCTATAATAATCTCCCTGATTGTCACAGATTTGATTATCGTAATACAAATTAATGACTGAGCTATTCTAGTATTTGGGCACATAGTCAAAATGGTCTCTTTCTCCATGTTATCGTTCTTCTGCTTGCCTTAGAGGTCCTGAAGCCCTATGTCAGGTTTAAAATTCATTCTCAATGTAAAAATTTCTTTGTAAGTTATCCTGTGCAGGTTTTTGTTTTTTTGTCTTTTTGAGACAGGGTCTCCCTGTAGCCCCAGCTGGCCTAAAACTTGCTATGTAGACCAGGCTGGCCTCTAATTTACAGAGATCCCCCTGCCTCTGCCTCCCAAGTGCTGGGATTAAAGGCATGTATCAGCACACCTGGTAGGTTTTTTTTTGTTGTTGTTGTTGTTGTTGTTTTTTAACTTGAATTTTACTTATTCTTTGAGATCTTACAATGATTTATTTGAGATAAACAGTTTGGTTCTATCAATAAATAAGCTGATTCCCTCTATCAGTTAAGAATTTTTTTCTTCTTTTTGAAAAGTTTTTTTGAGATGGGATCTCACTATGTGGATCAGGCAGGCCTTGAACTCAGAGATCTGCCTGCCCCTGCCTCCAGAGTGGTGGGATTAAAAGCATGTACTACTATGCCAGGTCCAGTATAGAGGTCTTAATTTTCTTTAAGTATATTCAAAAGCAAAACTAAGGCTTTTGTCATTTTTCTTGATCTGTCGGATTTGCTGGCTGATACATTTATCTCCATTGCCCCAACATCCTTTGTTCAAATTGTTGATTGAGAATTTCATACATGCATAGAGTGTGTTTTGATCAAATCTACCTCTCATTCCTTCCCCTCCAATTCTTCCCCTGTGGCTTTTCTCTCCCAACTTACCTCTGTCTCTCACAACACCCACTGAGTCCATCTAGTTTTGCCTGTATGTGTGTATGTGCATGGGTATGGGACCATCTACAGGAACATGGGTAGCTTCTTAGGGACCATGCCTGAAGAAAGCTGACTCCCTCTCCCAGCAGCCATCACTTGTCAATAGCTCCTTAGCTAGGGGTAGAATTTCCCGATGACCGCCACATGATTTTTAGGGGATTTTGCTATGTAGTGTTGATTGGCCTAGAATTTGCTTTGTGATCTTTCTGCCTGTGCCTGTTGAATGCTGAGATTGCAGGCATGATCCACTATGCTCAGCTTTTTTTTTTTTTTTTCAGATCAATACTCATTCTATAACTCAGACTGTCTTGGAACTCATACTTAGTCCAGGTTGGTGTTGAACTCACAGCAGTCCTCCTACCTCAGCCTCATGAGTGATTACAGCCTGAGCCTGAGCTCCACACTTGCCTGGCTTAACATTTGTGTTTACAATAAACATGACCATGACTAAGCACTAATTTTTATTTTATAAGTATATGAAAATAAAAGTTAGAAATAGTGAGATTTGAACATTAAAAGCCCATAAAAGACAGGCAACTTTCCAACATAAATTCTGTAGATTTTTTTCTTTTCCTTTTGATCCTGAGTCTTCTTTTATCATAAATTGGCTTTAGACTTCATCTGTGAGGACTACCTTGAATGTCTTACCTCCTTCTTTCCATCTCAGGTGCTATGATTATAGGCATACACCACCATGCTTGTCTGTAAGTGGTTATTGGCATATATAGTACATAAATACTTATACTAAAAGATACAACTTTATACATTTTAAATTTATAAAACTTTATGGGCATAAGCTGTAGACATTTATATTTCATAGTCATAAAGTTTGCAGTCATGAGCTCATTCAGTCAGTAATGTGTCGGCCATATAAGCGTAAAGACTTAAGTTTGGATTCCCAGCACCCACATTAGCCAGGCATGGTGGCGCACATCTTTAGTTCCAGCACTTGGGAGGCAGAGGAAGGTGGATCTCTATGAGTTCGAGGCCAGTCTGGTCTCTATAGGGAATCCAAGTCAGCTGTGGCTACAGGGAGACGCTATCTCAAAAAGACAAAACAAACAAAAAAACCCAAGCATGGCAGCGCAAGACTAAACCCAGCACTGGGGTGAGAGAGCTGAGACAGGTTAATGCTAGGAGGTCACTTGCTGCCAGCCAGCCTACCTGAATTGATGATGGGTTCTGAACCATCTCAAAAAATGAGGTAGATAGTGATTGAGAGAGATACCTGATGTTGAGCTGGCATCTACATGCATGGATACACCCATGCACATACCCACACAAGCATGTACATAGTCTGCATACAAACACAGAAAAAGTGAGCAATCAAATAGTGGAATGTTGGGTTTTTTTTTGTTTTGTTTTTTTCTTCCCTGTGTAGACTATAGCCCTAATGCTTTCACTGTATTTCAGAAATTTGATTGCTTGATTTTTTTTTTAGACAGCCATTTTTTATTAAAGGAAAATATAAACAGATTTGTTTAAAAAAACACAAAATATTATTGGTACCATATCATGAAGTTACTGCTACTTTTAAGCAAGTTTAGAAATATTTAGACTTTCCAGTGTTTATTCTATAAGTATCTATTTAGATATACAACACAA